TTTTTTTTTAACAATAAATATACATCAAGTTGCTAAAAGAAAGCAATAAAATTTTTCTTGAAAGAAAAAAAAAGAGGATTACTTAAAGTTCTATAATTAAAAAACTGAGAAATGGCCAAAATTAAGTAAGCTAACAACAATGCTAGAAAAAAATTAAAAGCCTATTGGTGCGAAGTCTTGCTTGAATAAGCTGGGAATTTCTAAGTAAAATACAAACCTTTCCTTTGCACAATGCTGTATCTTTGTTGATTAACAAACTCTTAGATGAATTCTTTTTATCAGAAGAGGACCCTGTCTCATCCTCTTTTAAGGTAGATTTTGAAGAACCCAAACAGTGAGAATGCTGGATGGCAATTAATTCACTATGAATAATAAAACCAAATGAAAACAGATATCTTAAAACAGTATCATATATATATATATCACTAATACTCTTATACTTAAAAGTATCTCAAGAAGACAAAAAACGTTTTTTTTTTAAATGAAGAAGCTTGAGTTTGAGTAAAATATTAGAGATGTGAGTAGAATATTATAAATTAATGCATACCTTTTGCAAGTATGAATTAAAACAAAATTCTTACTTAAGAGTAATTATAGAATAAGGAATTTCCCTCCCCCAAAAATACAGAGAAAAAAAGTTTCTCAAGAGAGGATCACCCAAAAGGGAGGGAAAAAATTAATACAGTATAAAGGTGAACTTGTGAAAAGTGTATGTTTTTGGTTTGTGAGACTGATTTTTGTTAATTTTTTTTTTGAAGTCATTTTGTGATAGTAGAATGGCACTGTTGTGGCTTATTAATTCTTCTGTAGGCACTCAGTATTAGGAAACAAACACATGTAGCTAAGCCTCTGCCTACGTAAACTCAAAGCAGAGTTTACTTTTTAAAAAAATTTTTGGCAGCTGGCTGGGGATCTGAACCCTTGACCTTGGTGTTACCAACACCATGTGCTAACCAACTGAGCTAACTAGCCAACCCTCAAAGTGGAGTTTAATAACAAAAGCTGGGGCTGGCTGGTTAGCTCACTTGTTTAGAGTGTGGTGCTGATAACACCAAGGTCCAGGGTTCAAGCCCTGTACCCACCAGCCACCAAAAAAATAGCAAAAGCTGTTCTGGGACAAACCAGAGGTGCTGGAACCTCTTCCTCCCAGGTAACCTAAATGAGAACAGGCTGCCCATGTTTCTTTCCTCCACAGGTAAACCTCTATTTGTCAAATGGAATGTGGCACAAATGTGAACATTTCAGCTAGATAATAAAGTAGGTACACAAGTTCTTATAATCTAAGGAGAAATAGGAAAACATAATTATCTTTTCTACTCAATCACGTATTTGTCTTGTGATGTCTTGGCATGTACCTGTGCTGGCAGAACAACCAGTCACAATTACTTTAAGTCAGTGAAGTGAAAAGGGCCTTCAAAAAAAATTCTGAATGTATATATATTTGAATTTAGTTCATACATTAAATTTAATATATACACACTATGTTCCTAGAACTATCTGACACAAGCTTTTCCCTTAATATACAAGTGTACTTAGTAGTGAAAAAAAGGCAGTTGTGCCCTACTGATACTTGCAATTGTACAAAAAAGAGCTTTAAAAACCAAATATGAATAGATCACATGTACTATAACAACCAATTTTTTAAAATTTTGCAACTGGCAGAATAATTATCTGTATGATTTTTAAAAATGACTCAAACTTCTAAAAGGGCCAAAGAATCCTCCAATAAGTACCAGAAAGAAATTTTAATCATAAAGTCCTATGAAAGTCAATGCGATGATTAAAATAAGGCTCTCAATATAGAAACTTCATCCTTTCTGTAATTTAAGATTGAAGAGCTATGCTTTATTTAAAAATAGCAGACGTTATTACAGCGCCACTCAACCATAAGATTCAGCAATTCTAACAATAAGATGGGCCTGAATAATGCAGCATATGCCAATAACTAATCCATGTTCTTCTCTAAAACAAACCAATAACTTTTTCCACCTTGTTAAATACAAATATTCTTTCTCTCACATGATTTTTAAAAAGTAAGAAAGTTTGGGAAATGTGAAGTTTAAAACAGTAAACTAAACACAGAGGCAGAAGCTGCTGGGTACATAAATATGCCGAGTGACCCTGGATAAGAAGAA